ATATATATATATATTATTTTATATGTTTATGTTATTGCAATATATGGGTCAACTCAAACATCATTTAAAATAAATGATGTGATATATTACATATAAAAGGTAACAAATAAAAAATATGAAGTATTTTAAAATTAAAAAAAAATTAATGATAGAAAGTAATAAAAATCTTAACTAAAAAATTTTAAGATTAACATACCCACTTTTAAAGAAATATACATATGAATATATATATATATATATATATTATATATATTATATATTAAAATTTATATATATATATATCTATATGTTATGTACTTAAATATTCTAGTTAAAATATATGTGTATCTTTAAGTATATTTTATGTTTCTCATTAGCCAGCTTCAATTGATATTGTACATTAAGTAATTTTATCAGCATTTTTACTTTTAGATTTAATGAGAGATATAAGTTTTGTCGTCATTCTTACCCCTTATTTAGTTATTATAATACTAATAAAATAATTAAGGATCTTTCAAAGTATCTTGTTTGTTTTGAAAAAATTACTTCTTATCATAAATTGAATGCCAATTACATTGAATATGTTATATTTTCTATCGTATGAAAAATTTTCATAATAATAGTTGCACACAATATTATATATAATGCATTTTTTTTTTTATAGATTTGGAGTCCTAGTTTTACTACAAGAAATGAGAAAATTCCAACAAAAAATACAACAAATATAGCGATTTTCTTATGTTGATTTAAGAAAAATCTTGACTTTCGGTTTCTTAAATATATTTTACCTTATTGTGATTGCATAGATTTATTAAAATGTATTACAAATGAGAAAGGTGATAGATCATGTAAAGTATAATTTATAAATTGCAATATATAACATGTTATTTTGATGGTATATTTTTTCTTCTAACTAAATAATGCTCCCAATATGAAATTATTTTAAATCTATCACTGCAATTATCTTTTCAATGGAACTTCTATTGAATTTTTGCATAATACCAATGACAATTTTTTCAACTATTGAAATATGGTCCAAAAAAAATTCCAATAGAAATTCATGTAATTGAAATATTTGAATCCACTAAAGTTCATGTAATTTAATTTGAACACTAATGGAATAGCCAATGAAATTTTCCAATGAAAGCAATATATTCGTGGGAATTTTCAGTACATTACCTTACCGTTGAGTTTTTCATTGCAGTATAGCAATTTTTTGTAGTCCTCTCAAACATTATTTTTTTATTTTTTATGTAGTATTTATTGAGGAATTGTGTTTACAATTTTTTTATTAAAAATATATTAAACACGTGAACCTTTTAGTTCCTATAATTTTTTTTTTTTTTTTTCAGAAATCACTCATTATTTTATCTCAAGATTACCTATTAATTTACCAATTGAGTTACATTTCTTACATATTAAATATCATATAATTAAAATAGTTCTTGTTTTATATGTTCAATATGATACTTATATATTATATTAAAAAAATTAATATAGTAAATAAAAAAATTATTTAGAATTAGAATAATAAAGATTTTTTTTTTTCTAATCTGCATGTATAAATGTACAAATTATTATTGTCTTATCACCTCAAATTAACACATAAAATTAACAAGCGTTTAACAACTCAGTTCAATTACATCGATAAGTATATTTTTAGAAGATTTATATTTAGTTATATTAATTATATTATTTTTGTTTATTAGTTTGTTTTATATTTATTAGTACGTGTCACAACTTAGTTATTATTCATATTATTTTTTACATTTCATATTTTTTTTTAAAACTTATCTTTTTCTTTCACATGTTCTTAACTGTAAATTTGTCAAAAAAGACATAATATAAAGTATAGAATTTTTCGATCATCTGTCTCATTATATATCAAATATTTGTATATCCTATATTATATTATATTTAATTACAATTATTTAATTAATATTTTAATTAAATATTTACAATTCATAAATTCATTAATAATATTGTCGAGTCAACTTTTGTTCATAAAATTTTTAAAAATATATTATTTTCATTGATTTGCTTATGTTAAATTGAGAAAAGTTATGTTTTTATAATTGTAACTGTATTGATGTGTTAAACATGTACTACAGATGAGAAAGATGATAAATTATGAAAAATATAATTTATAAATTATGATGACATTATGTTATTTTAATGGTATACTTTTTCTATTAACCAAATAATGCCTCAAGTATGAAATTATTTTGTATCCACCACTGCAGGTAGATTTCGAATAGAACTTCCATTGAAAATTTTACAATTCCAGTGACATTTTTCCAACTGTTGAAATATGATCCGAAATTTTGGTTTCTTAAATATATTTTACCTTATTGTGATTGCATAGATTTATTAAAATGTATTACAAATGAGAAAGATGATAGATCATGTAAAGTATAATTTATAAATTGCAATAACATGTTATTTTGATGGTATATTTTTTTTATTAACTAAATAATGCTCCCAATATGAAATTATTTT